GGCCTCACCATGGCCACGTCCCTCTTGCTGCTGTCGCTGAAGTGCGCCGTGCCCACCAGGTAGACGACACTGCCGTCCGGGGCCTGCAGCTGGGTCACCGTTTCTGGCAGGACCGGGCTGGCCTGGCGCCGCTGGGCACGCACCTGCCACAGCAGCTCCACTGCCTCCGTGTCCGCTGCAGGGAGGAGAGGGAGCCGGAAAGGTGGGGAGACGTGAGTGGGATGTGCAGGCAGAAAAGGGGAACGGGAAAACGAGAGGGAGGAGGAGAGCCGGGAGGGGCGGCCGCGCAGACATTGGGTACGGTGCGGTAGGAGAGCAGGAGAGCACTCACAGAGACCAGGGGGCAGGCTGGGCAGCGCGTGCATTTCATCATCCGGATCGGGACTGGCCGGCTCCTCCTGGGAGACAGGGGGAAGGAGGGAGGAGGAACAGGGAGAGTGGGAGAGCAGGAAAAAAAGAAAAACATGTTCTTACATGGGTTCTCTCACACAGTGGGGAAATGCTAGCAGCAGAGTGAAGGGCTTCCCCGTCTCTCACCTCTGTGTTGTTGCTCTGGTCCATGGGCGCGTGAGTGTGAACAGTCTGTCTCAGTCAGTCTTCCCGTCCGCGGTCTCTGCAGGTCAGCTGCATCAGAGAACATCACAACGGCATCATCGCACACTCTTCAGGAGGATCTCCATCTTAGAAATCCCAAACCTCATTCTACTCCACCTGTAAAATGGTGTCTGTAGCAGCTCTTCTCTTTTGAGCTGACCGAACAGTGTTCTATAATTGTGAAGATCACATGAGAACGAATGATCATTTACAGTGGTGACCTGTACGCAGCAGGGCAGTAACAGAAGCCGTCTGAATGAAGCAGTTTGCTCAAGCCCGCATCTGCAGAGCTCATGACCCTCTTGGTGTGCAGGTCTTCTTCATATTCCACGCATTAATAAAAAACAGTTGGCGGTAAAGCCTAAGGGTTACAGGGCCCCTAGCTTATGGAACAGTCTCCCACCCTGTGTTCAATCTCAGAATTAAATCCAGACTGAAAACCTATTACTTCAGCCTAGCCTACACACACCTTACATCATAGCCTGCTGCAACCATGGCTGCTGGTGCTGCTGTCCATGCCACTGTGTGTCTCCATGTTGGCCCACCAGGTAGATACATCTGTTCTGACCAAACTATCCTATTCTCCTCCCCACATGCCCGGATCGCGCCCGGGCTGGGCACCATCTGAGTTGGATGCTGCACCACTGCAATGAATCCAAGAGGGAGATCGTGGACATAGCTATCGTTTAGGAGGATTTTGCTGGTCTACAGAGACACGATGGATGGATTAATACCTTTATTCATTTTTTACTTTTTTTATTGTATAATGTTAGCATGCCCAGAGGGGTAGGGCAGCCAGTTGGCCTTGGACCCCTAGAGGGTTTTTTTCTCCTTACAGAGGTGTTTTTGGTTCCTCTCCTCCATTATCTTCTGGTCTTTTCTGTTCTGTATTCACAACATGGGTGGTCATTTGCTTTGTTAAGCGCCTTGGGGCAACCTTGTTATGAAAGGCACTTTATAAAAATAAATTGAATTGGAAATTGAGTCCAGAGGCTTGATCAGTCCTCCAAAGTGGTGCCCTGTGTGATCACCTCTAGAAAGCTGTTTCTGTCTATCTGAAGACCTCACCATCACAGCCAAATGAAGTCAATCACAAAATAATTTAAGAAGAGATGGCTCCTTCCTTTAATTAAGGAGAACAAAAAAATCTGTTGATCACCCCACCTTAGGCTACATGTCTAAACAAAGTCAGTCTCAGCCACCCTTTTAATAAAGCTCTGATCAGCACGCACCCTAAGATTCAACGCAATGGCAGCTTCATTAAGGAGAATTCTGTCCAGCGCATTGTCACTCAGTGTACAGCACAGCTGGATTGGCCTCATCGCACTTAGTGGGCCACTTACTTCCTGTCATTACTGTCCGCCTACAGCAGCCATCAAATTACAGCTCCACCCCAAAGCTACAACAACAGCAATACAAAAACAACAGCAGTGACAAACGCACAAAGAGCACAAGACATTACAGTGGGGAACAAGAGGATGGTGGAGTTAGAGCAGACAGCCATCTTTATTCCAGAGACCTTATTTTAAAATGATCTCCTTGACCCCGAGTCCTCAATGCACATACTCCTTTTTTTTAGGTTTGTCTCACTTGCCCCCACTGATACTTTCTTTACTACGGGTTCTGAGGACGTCCCCTGGGTCAGCTCCGTCAGCACGTTCCGGGAGGTTCAATACTTGAGTCAAGTCTCCAGACTAAGAAGAAGAGAAGAGCTGCAGATGGGAGCTGGTCCTTCGGCCTGTCATGTAAGTGTGCTACTGTGGCTACAGACGGCCCAGGAAAAACCGAGGGTGAGGGTGGGCTGGTTTAACGTGACGCGCAGAGACCAGAAAGCCGCAGCGTATAGCAAAACAACCTATAATGGGAAGTTTTCCTCCCTAAGATAAGAACAACATAAACATAGAGGGCCTTGGACTGTAAAAGCACAAACTTTGCCTGAAAACCAGATGCCTTTCCCACAAGAATAACCGGAATAGAGTCGGGTTAAGTCCATAAGTTAGTGTGAGTTTCACTTACAGTTACACAAATACAGAACAGGGGGGTCCTGTTGTAAGTCCAGGTAATGCTCTTTAATAATCCAACTATCACTTAAAAAAGGGAGTTAATATCTATTAGGAATTATGTAATTAGCTTGAGTTACAGTATGTACCAACTCTGACATGGGTGTACAGGTATAAATGAAAAAATACCTATAACCCATACAAAAACAATAAGTAGAAACTGATAGTGTCACCAAGTCTCTTTGAATTGTTGTCTTGCTCACTGCGTCAGGGTAGAGTTCTCCACTCTCTGTTCCCGCAGTTCAAGTTGGCAGGATCAAGCCCCGATCCACTGGTTGGGTCAGTGACGTAGTGCCTGGTGGCAGGAGCTCAGTGTTCATGTCAGGGCACAACGATTCCCAACAAGCCAAGTGTAACGGTACCGTCTTCAAGAAGACGGATTTCTGATGTTAGATTTTGCTCTTCACAATATCGTTTTTTCACTTCCCGAACAAAATAATCCAGGGATCACCTATACGTTGCTGGCTTTTGGTGTTGTGGAAAAGGTCGTAAATGTGGGGATTTTTTTTTTTACACTGAGCTCCTCATTTAGGCAACGACGCACAGGGGGACGACCTGTACCGCGGACCGCCTGTACCAATAACGAGAGCATGAGAACAGCTCCACAGGACGCCACTGGGTGCACCCAGTCTGTTCGGTTGTCCATCGCTAATTGATCCAAGCATCTCACCCAGATGGTACTTGAAAGAAACCCAACGGCTTCAACAACACAGCCAGGCAGCTTGTCCCACACTCCCACAACCCTCTGGGTAAAGACGTGCCTCTAACTCTCAGTTTTAAATGCTCTTCTGCACTGTTTCCACTTGTCTTCTTCTGGTTCCCATTGGGAACAACTGGTCACCTTGGCCCTTGAGGTCCTTGGAGGATTTCTTGTATCAAGTCTCCATGTAATCATCTCTGTTCAAGGCTAAGAGGTTTCAATTTCTTCAGTCTCTCAGTGAACTGGCTGCGTATCAGGGATAATATTTTCTAACATGAATGATTCTGCTAATTCCAGACTGAAGACCGTAGATCAAGTGGGGAAACTGCTTCACCATTTCAATTAGGTCGTTTTTGGCAGGCTTGACAGTGCAAGCCCAACACTGGATTTACCCTGGGTGCAGGGCTTAAAAAAACACAACTTTTACAAACACTGTTGGTTAGTAGCTCATTGATCCCGAGAATCTCATTCTCTGGTTTGTGAAGGATCTAGAGCGCCTGCATAAAACAAAACAGCCTAGCTGGGTGCCATAGTTCGATTTAAGACACAACTTCGCCCCGTCACCTGACTCCGACAGTGACACGCTACCCAGACAGACCACACCGGCCGGGACTCAGACACCGCAGATGAGAAACGTCACTGCGGTCAGCCCACCTCTTATTAATATAGGGCTGCATGTATGAACATGACGCGCAGCACAGAACGGGCGACACGGACGGAAAGACACAGGGAAATGAACACAAAGACACCGAACGTACACAAAAAACAAAAACAAAAACAAAACCACAGACAGGGGGCAGACAGAAAGGCAGTTTTAGGAGACTTGCCCCGACTGATATAAGGCCCTCCTAGCAAAGGTCTGCATGACAGCCTTGTGGATGCTACGTCCTGCCCCTATCTGGGGCACCGGGAAACCGCCGAGACAGGGTCAAACTCATTCTCATGTGGCAGTTATGCTCCCAGGAGTTTCTAATGAAAGGGCACACGGGCCCGGAGTCGCTGGGACGCAGCACAAACCCGATAACAGACTGTAACGCAGAAGGGAAAATACACGCAAGGAGCGACAGCCCGCATGCCCACCGGTTTCGAGCCGTCACAGATGGCAACACAGCTACGGTGAGCGATCAGGACAAACCGCTCGGTAAACACGCTCGCTTCTTTCACCGCCTGCTCAGGCAACAAAGCTCGGGGACTTTCGGCAAGGCAGCCGAGCCCGTCGCGGAACGGCGCTGTACCAAACGTCGGAGGATGAATCCCCACCATAAGCGAACTCCCGTCAGAAACCATCTTACCTCCACCGCTTCCACTTCAACGTCCGTCCAGTCACCGACACGACTATCTTCGGTTCGCGTTGCCCCCTGGGTAGTGTAGTCATCCTAAAGCCGCTTAGTTTTCGCCCCCGTCGATTCCTGCGGCAGAACTGCTGTCGAGCGCCTGGGCTAAAGGGAATTGTAGTACTTCTGACCAATCCCGGAAATGCATGCGGAAAAAGCTGGACGAAAGCTCTTCCACAACGTGTTTTGACTTTTGAATGAAATTGCCTATCGCTGTTCGCAAGAGGGAAAGACTACTTGTGGAATTCGAATTCAATTCAGTTCAAAGAGTTTTATTGGCGTGACATGTTCAATTACAGTGTTACCAAAGCATTATCAATGACTAAACATTTACAAACATTTAGAACAATATCCACAATTTTTTGTGAAGCTCACTCCCCGTTCCTCAGTCTGTGATGATAGGAGATCACACACTGGGCTGCAGCTCAATTGAGTTTCCTGCCCCAACTAGGATTTTTGTGATTGGTTTTGTCATTATCGGCAACAATGTCTTAAAAATATCTCCCAGTAACACTGGGTGTTTCTGACCCCTGCTCGAAGTTAAAAAAAAAAACTTAAAATTGCATTTATTATGGGGAAAAAACACAAAACGAGCTAACCGAAAGGCCCCTGATTCTGAGACACTGCGTTCTTGTGTGGTGTCACCAATGGAGGAGGTAAAGTCTAAGAAGTCTAAGGGCTTCTAGTCCAAAAAGGTGAACTGTGATATTTCTTATCACAGCTATAGTCTGTTAATGGCTCCCAGCCTTGCTCCTGAAGGAACAGTCTTTGCTCCAGTGCTGATCGATGACTTAATTGATCTGCTTTCTTGTTAACTTTCATTGAACTTGTTTCATCTGCAAGTCCCGTGTGTCAATTTCCCAAATTCAAGGTTACCACTCCCAACACGTTCAGCATGTAGAACGCTGTGCCGCCTCTCCTCACCTTACAGAGTGAACAGCTCTTGGTAGCCGATCAGCTGCTGGTGAGCAGGTAGAGGTGGGAATGACGCAATGAGCGCTTCTCCTTCTGCACAAGTCTGATCAGTTACATTTCAGGGAGCGCTGCTGGAGGAGGGCAGCTCTGCAGCTCAGAAACTGGTACAGAGCAGATGACAAGTACAAGCCCCGATCGACCTTTTAAGAGCTGCAGGCGAGTGGGAAAATAGGAAAGTGAAATCAGTGAGCCTGTTTTTAAGAACTCAGCTGGAGAAAAAAACCACAGTCTGTTCCTCCAGGACCCGAGTGGGGAGCCCTTGGTCTAAACGTCTAATGGAGCAGCAAATGGCTATAGGGCTTATCAGCAAATGGGTAATGAGGCTGTTAATTAATCAGAGAGGCGAGGGAGGGGGGAGAGAGACACAGAGAGGGCAGCTGATGTCTCACTGCAGGGCTGTAATGAGCACGTGTCTCGCATCACATCGTGCCTCACTGAGCGCTCTCATTGAGCAGCAGTGCTAAATTTTCCTGCCAGCACTGCAGATTCCTCCACGACCACTGGTCATAATAAGAGCAGTTATAATGATTATAATGTACGGGCGATCAGGAGGAACATCGGGGGGAAGGACAATGTGACTTACATAACAGAGTATGATTAGGTGGGATGAAATGCTTTCCTTCCTCATTTCTCTCTCGCCCCCTTTAACTCATAGTCCTGTCAGACCACCCTGGCCCCTGCCGCGGACGTGGTTAGGCAGGGCGCGCGGCTCAGCCTGTCCAGGCAAGCAAAACAGCAATAAACCGATCAAGGGCTGTGAAGAAGAAGTTACTGCCTTCCTGAGATCCTCTCTTCTCACTCACACCACCTGCCCTGATGCACATCAGATTCTTCTTGATCAAACTGGGGAGATTTTGTTACCGTTTTCCAAAAAGCACAACTCAGAGCAGAGGATGGGGGGGGTGGGGGGTCAGTATTTACAGAGGTGAATCTGGAGGAGGTGGGAGACAACGTGGACACTAACCCAAAGCCAAAAGACTGACTCTCATTCTTTCTCAGTGTGCATCAATGTGTCACTGTGGGCTCCAGCACGTGAATCCCTGCCTGTCCCTCTACAGCACTGCAGGAGATCACAGCCCAGTGGCGAAGCCGCTGACAGAGATGAACATCAGAGAGAGAGCAGGAGAGAGAGTAGGGTTTACTGACCTTGCCAGCCAGGAGACACTGAGGCAGGGAGGGTGAGAGGGTTTGCTGCATAAGAAATCAGCCACACGCTATTGCACGGTAACAGACAGTGAGAATCACAATCACTTGCAGTCATCGCTAAAAACGTGGCTGTTCATTTGCGTCACCGGCTGTCACAGCCAGTTTCAAAAAGAGGGTGTCTTTTACTGCAGCGAAAGACAGTCATTGACGTCAATCCCACTGCTAGTTTTGTTCAAAGAATGCACAGAATTGGCATACCAAACACTTGAAGCTTTCTGGAAGTAAAAAGTGTGGTAGACAGGAAGTCCCACTTTCAGCACTACGGAGGTAAGACAGTATTTCCTGCTTCCTACAAGAGCTAAAATCAATTGGCACCCATTCCTAGAAATTTCAAGAGTTGTTCTTAAGTAGTAGTTTTGGCTGAAAATAAAAATACCCTCGTAGTGAAACTCCCAGTCCTGGTCCTTGGTAATCCCTGTGTTTCTGTTTTTTGATTTTTTAAATAAATGTGCTTCCAGCTCTTTAAAAAGTTGACTGAGATTTGTAATTGGCATGAACCCTGTGCAAATGAGTTCCAGGACTGCCCTCGACCAGGAGGGTGGGGGCTGAAGTATGACCAACAGCAGATGAGCAGAAGGAAAAGCATGGACTCTCTCAGGGAGTGTCTGAGATTTTCATTCCCACCTCTGTTTATCGTCTGTTGATCACCTATTAAAAGCTAGTGAATCAAACATAAGGGAGCAAAGTCTTACTAACCAAGTTGAGGTTATGTGTGTTGAAGCTGTTGGTAATATTTTTAACAAGGATATTTTCGAAACCAAGCACCTACAGTAGTGCAAAAAAAGGTCTAAACCAGATCAGGTACAGGCACCAGACAGCACTAGTGAATAAGGGTACAATTAGAGTAAAAACCAGCAGACACAGGGGTTTCCCAGGAATATGACTGAGAATTATAGAAGATCCACAGGTCTCCCACAGCATAGCCTCCCCTCCCATCTCTGTTCAGGACAGACACAACCAGTCCAGAAAACCACAGCTTTCCTGACCCTGTTCCCACAGACACCCATCACAGCGAGACAGTCCCAGAATTAGCACAACAACTGCAGATGACACACACAACACACACACACAAACACAGACATTAACATACTTCACAAATTCCCAGATGCCCCAGGGCTCCCTGTCCTACACCCAGGGAGTGTGACAGTCTGGTTTGCAGGACAGGCCCCTCCTGAGAAACAGGCCGGTCATTATCTCCATTTCGGAAAGAGAGTGGGATCCGTCAGGTGTGATTCCCGTGTTGTAGCGTCCCCTTGGGAATGTCGCGTCTGGGTCGCAGTCCCTACGTCCGGGACAGGCAAGCAGGCAGGCAGACGGGCGGACAGACAGGCACACTGACACGTGGACAGAACTCTTGCCGGTACACCTGGGGAGTGCGCTCGGTGTCCCAAAGGCAGGCAGATGGATAAAAAAACGGTCATGCAGACAAACAGTGAATCTACTTTCTGCTATGTCCCAGAATCCCTTCGTCCTCACGGTCTCTGGGCGGCGGCTGGCAGCGGGGAGGACAGACAAACAGACGGACATTGGGGGCAGTCAGGTCCTTCCCAGTGCTGCAAGCCCTTGGCTTGACTGGCAGCTGTGTGTGGCGCCCTCCCTGCCCTCCCTGCGCTGTCTTTCCTCAGTTCCGCCTCCTCCGCGGTCGGGGGTGGATCCTGGCGGCCAGCAGGCAGGCCAGCCCGACGCCCACCGCCTGGGTGACGGCGAGGCCGAGCGCGGCGGCCGCGATGTGGAACACGTTGTCGCTCACGAGGTCGAAGACCTTCCGGAAGCAGCCGTGCTCGTGGATGCCGGCGGCCGCGGCGGCGGCGGCCCCCCCGGGGGGCAGGGGGCTGTTCTGGCAGCCCCTCCTCCTCACGCAGCAGCTGGTGGGCACCGACCGGTTCCCGCCGGCCTGCTCCGCCGCCCAGGGGGAGGCCAGCCAGTCCTGCCAGCCCTCCGCCCCGCAGCACTCCAGCGCCCTCTGCAGGCCGTCCAGGGCGTCGGCCTGCCGCTCGTCCTCGCCGTACGCCGCCACGGCGCGGTGCAGCCCGCTGCGGAAGCCCTCGGCGATGTCGTTGCGGTAGAAGAGGCCGCAGAGCCCGGCGGCCAGGCCAGCCACCAGGGCGGCGAGCTGGAACAGCCCGTAGACCCGCAGGAGGCCGCGGAGGCCCGCCGCCGCGCCCAGGCAGCCCAGGAACCCCCAGGCCGTCACAGAGCCCCCCGTGACCAGCAGCACCAGCGGGGCGTTGGGGTACTGGTTGGCAGAAAGCAGCAGGTAGTCCGCCAGGGAGATGTGCGCCCAGAGGCCCAGGGACAGCAGCGCCAGCCCGGCCGCCCAGAACAGGCAGCTGAACGCCAGCAGGGCGAGGCGGAGCAGCGGCGCGGAGCCCCCCCGCGGGGCCGC